TTCCCCACCGCCCGAGGCTGATATTCCAGTAGTAGTCACTAGGAACGCGATCGGGTGGCGCCGCGCGATAGGGAGTTATTGATGCATTTGGGGGTTGCGAGCTGAAATGCGAGCTTAGCTTTGAATCGCAATCCTGTGGCGTGCTGCATTGCGAAGGCCCGCGCAGGCCGGAAACAGGGCGACTGGCAGTCGCCTGCGGTGTCGCTCTGGCTGGTGAGCGACGGTGCAACTTGAGTGAAGCAACGGGATTGGAGCATGTTTGAATTATGCAGGACTGCGAGCAATCTTGCCCTATGTTCTGGCCTGGGATCAGGCCTGTCGATTGACGGGCATATGCCCTTAATGCCCTGAAATTCCGGGCTACTTTTGCTCCAGCTCGACTGCATAAAGTGTTAGGATCGCCCTGCACCCGTGCCACTAAGTGCTTCGTTCGACCCTTCCCCGGATGCGTTAAGTGCTCCAACCGGGCCTTCCCCACCCACAAAGTTTTGATTTCTGTTTTTAGGACCACCCCCTCTCCCCCAAGAAATTCTGCCCGACTACCCCACCCTTTCCCCCCCCCCCCCCCTTTCTCCTTAGGTTGCACGAGAGCACGCCAAGGGGATTTTTCCCTTAGCATTTTCTAGCCAATCCCGTGTTTGTGATATCTCTAAGTCAGCTTTGGAGCAGCCGAACTATCCCTTAGGGCGGGACCAACTTTGCACATGTTCGTTTTATTTTCAGCACAGTTACCACATTTACGCTTGTAACAGAACTTTTTACGTTTTACAAAGCAGTTGACTGGAAACAGTTCATCTGGCGACGCAATTCAAAAACGTTCCCCGAGACGCGCAGAACACGTCCGAAGGCACACAGTGAATTCGTCCAGCAGTCCGTATTGCGTCATGAACGGTGAACAGTAACGCAAGCGTTTCGCAAAAGGTCAGTCGCAACTAATTCGACTAGCCTCAACAAGTAGAAATTGGCGATTCGTCGTCGCGCCAATCTCATGCGTTATTTGGTAACTCTCTAACAGGTACTGTATCATGGCTCCTTCTTGAACCATGTCAGCACTCCGAAATATATGGACAGAGACTGTTCTGAGTACCGCTTGGGGTTCAGTCAAATTTGACGAGCGCATGGACGTTAAATTTACGAAAAAAACGATCATGTGCAAAGTTGGACCCGCCCTTAGCTAAGATAGTGTAAGTGCAAGCCCGGATTTCAAGTTTTCACTTTGGCCTGCGCCCGTGACCGTTAAGGGCGCCAAAACACTCAGCTACGGCCAAAACAGGGTCAGATAGGGAGGAGCTGGGGACTCCAAGTATGGGCCCCAGGAACTTCGACAGGCCTGCCTGGGATAGATAGTAGGAAGGGAGTTCCCGTCCTAGCACGGAAGTGAATTATTGCAAGCGCACAACTCACATTGCTTTTCAATCTCACGGCTCACAGTTGTTCATTTCTTCCTACTGGGTGACTTATTGAAATCGCACGGCTCACATTGACTCATCCCCCCTTTTAGCGGAGCGTGAATTATTGGAACTGCGGGGGCGGAGGGGATGTGTGAGACACCTGCTGTGCGACGGATGCCACCCCAAACATAAAAAGTCGTTATCTATTGTTTGAGGAATCACCCTGATACCCTGATTATCAGGGTGGTTATTGGTGGTCACACTGATGGCTTAGGGTAATTTTGTTGTGGAGCTAGGATTTTCCTGATATGCCAGGGTTTACATTTAAAGCTCGAGTCCCAAATTGCAGGGCGCGCAGGTCAAGCTTTTAAAGCCCGAGTTCCACATGGCTGTTTTCAAATTCAAGATTCTTGAATATGAACTCGCCAAAAACCAGGTTACCCCCCGAAGTGAAGCTTTCCGTCGCCTCACAAAGGAGAGGCTTCACAACTCTGATGCATGATTGGCCAGCGACAGAACAAGTATTCCGCGTGAAGTGTCAGCCAGAGTTTGACCACTGTTCACATTCAGTAAACTTGAAAACCAAGTTGTACTAATGTGCAGCCATATTGAGTCTAAAACACGCAGTGCGCTCCGCTGTTCAGGACCACAAGAGCGCGTAAGATCGCATTTAGACAATGGCAGCGAGATGTCAGTAGCATTGCAGCAGCCTGTTTGTTGTTCCCAACAACAAAAATAATACTAGCCAGCATAAAGAAAAACGTCATGCGTCACGCCCATTTCTATAGGGACGATGGCGCAGGCATGTACGTTCGAAGCGCACGGATCGGGCGCTTGCCTCACATGTACGTTCGACGCACCCGCTTCCGCCCGTCGCACTCCCTTCTGCGTTCCTGCACTCCCTTCCGCCCGTCGCACTCTCTTACGCCCATCAAACTCCCTCCCGCCGTCGCCCTACTGCCCGTCGCTCTCCCTAGCGCTCGTCGCACTCACTTCCGCCGTCGCCCTCCCTTCCGCCCGTCACCTTCCCTTCCGCCCGTCGCCCTCCCTTCCGCCGTCGCCATCCCTTCCGCCCGTCGCCCGTCGCCATGCCTTCCGCCCGTCGCCCTCCCTTCCGCCGTCACCATCCCTTCCGCCCGTCGCCCGTCGCCCGTCGCCATGCCTTCCGCCCGTCGCCCTCCCTTCCGCCGTCGCCATCCCTTCCGCCCGTCGCCCGTCGCCATGCCTTCCGCCCGTCGCCCTCCCTTCCGCCGTCGCCATACCTACCGCCCGTCGCCCTCCCTTCCGCCGTCGCCATCCCTTCCGCCCGTCACCCTCCCTTCGTCTCGTCGCCCTCCCTTCCTCCCATTGCCCTCCCAACCACCCGCCGCCATACTTTCCCCTCGTCGCGACCCCTTCCGTCCGTTGCCCCCCTTTGTCCCCGTCCCTGCTTCCCCCCACGCCCTTCTCTGCTTCCCCCCACCCCCCTCCCTGCTTCCCCATGTCCCCCTCCCTGCTTCCCCCCATCCCCTTCCCTTCTTCCCCCCATCCCCTTCCCTAATATTCCCCCATCCCCTTCCCTGCTTCCCCCCATCCCCTTCCCTGCTTCCCCGCGTCCCTTTCCCTGCTTCCCCCCATCCCCCTCCCTGCTTCCCCATGTCCCTTTCCCTGCTTCCCCCCATCCCCTTCCCTTATATTCCCCCATTCCCTTCCCTGCTTCCCCATGTCCCCTTCCCTGCTTCCCCATGTCCCTTTCCCTGCTTCCCCCCATCCCCTTCCCTGCTTCCCCCCATCCCCTTCCCTGCTTCCCCCCATCCCCTTCCCAGCTTCCCCGTGTTCCCTTCCCTGCTTCCCCGTGTCCCCTTCCCTGCTTCCCCGTGTCCCCTTCCCTGCTTCCCCATGTCCCTTTCCCTGCTTCCCCCCATCCCCTTCCCAGCTTCCCCCCATCCCCTTCCCAGCTTCCCCGTGTTCCCTTCCCTGCTTCCCCATGTCCCTTCCCCTGCTTCCCCCCATCCCCTTCCCAGCTTCCCCGTGTTCCCTTCCCTGCTTCCCCATGTCCCTTCCCCTGCTTCCCCCCATCCCCTTCTCTGCTTCCCCCCATCCCCCTCCCTACTTCCCCATGTCCCTTTCCCTGCTTGCCCCCATCCCCTTCCCTTATATTCCCCCATTCCCTTCCCTGCTTCCCCATGTCCCCTTCCCTGCTTCCCCATGTCCCTTTCCCTGCTTCCCCCCATCCCCTTCCCTGCTTCCCCCCATCCCCTTCCCTGCTTCCCCCCATCCCCTTCCCAGCTTCCCCGTGTTCCCTTCCCTGCTTCCCCGTGTCCCCTTCCCTGCTTCCCCATGTCCCTTTCCCTGCTTCCCCCCATCCCCTTCCCTGCTTCCCCCCATCCCCTTCCCAGCTTCCCCGTGTTCCCTTCCCTGCTTCCCCATGTCCCTTCCCCTGCTTCCCCCCATCCCCTTCCCTGCTTCCCCCCATCCCCTTCCCAGCTTCCCCGTGTCCCCTTCCCTGCTTCCCCATGTCCCTTTCCCTGCTTCCCCGTGTCCCCTTCCCTGCTTCCCCCCATCCCCTTCCCAGCTTCCCCGTGTCCCCTTCCCTGCTTCCCCGTGTCCCTTTCCCTGCTTCCCCGTGTCCCCTTCCCTGCTTCCCCCCATCCCCTTCCCTGCTTCCCCCCATCCCCTTCCCTGCTTCCCCCCATCCCCTTCCCTGCTTCCCCATGTCCCTTTCCCTGCTTCCCGCCATCCCCTTCCCTGCCTCCTCATGTCCGTTTCCCTGCTTCCCCATGTCCCTTTCCCTGCTTCCCCCCATCCCCTTCCCTGCTTCCCCATGTCCCTTTCCCTGCTTCCCCCCATCCCCTTCCCCGCTTCCCCGTGTCCCCTTCCCTGCTTCCCCCCATCCCCTTCCCCGCTTCCCCCCATCCCCTTCCCTGCTTCCCCGTGTCCCCTTCCCTGCATCCCCATGTCCCTTTCCCTGCTTCCCCCCATCCCCTTCCCTGCTTCCCCCCATCCCCTTCCCTGCTTCCCCCCATCCCCTTCCCTGCTTCCCCCCATCCCCTTCCCTGCTTCCCCCCATCCCCTTCCCTGCTTCCCCCCATCCCCTTCCCTGCTTCACCCCATCCCCTTCCCTGCTTCCCCCCATCCCCTTCCCTGCTTCCCCCCATCCCCTTCCCTGCTTCCCCCCATCCCCTTCCCTGCTTCCCCCCATCCCCTTCCCTGCTTCACCCCATCCCCTTCCCTGCTTCCCCCCATCCCCTTCCCTGCTTCACCCCATCCCCTTCCCTGCTTCCCCCCATCCCCTTCCCTGCTTCCCCCCATCCCCTTCCCTGCTTCCCCCCATCCCCTTCCCTGCTTCCCCCCATCCCCTGCCCTGCCTTCCCTTCATTCTCTGCCCTGCCGCCCCCCACCCTCTGCCCTTGCGTCTTCCCACCCACCCTCTGTTCTGCTTCCTTCATCCTCGCCCACCTCACCGCCTGCCCAAGTATCGCCTGCCCACCTTACCACCTCAAATCCTTTCCTTCCTTTCCGCGTGCAGGTGTGGCGGAAGGTGCACGTGGCGCGAAGTGTGTTGGAGGAGCGGTTTGACGTGATAATCACTGATAACGCCATTCTTTGGCAAGTCAACCCCCGCTAAGCTTAGGGGAGTGCCAACTCATGCCCCTGCCAGCACGCCAGAGGCACTCTTAGGGCACTCTAGCGGTTGTGAGAGATGCTTCCCTAGATACCTGTAGAAGCCAGGGTTATCTGGCCGTAGGGATCGACTTGTGGATCGTGCTATTTTATGCGCTGGAGGTTTATAGGTACAAGGGTCTACTTGTGATGATAGTGGTATAAGGGGTGTATTGTGTATGCCCATATCTCAGTGTTGACCCGACCTCTTCTTCGTGATGCAACATATAAATACCGGCCCTATTGTGGTTGCTGCTGTTGTTTCTGATTATGCAATTGGCAGTCTTGTGAGTGCAGAACTTCTGAGGTAACAGACGAGGATTCTCACGAATACTGTAATAAGAGATGAAGTGAGCACAAAGAATGTATATAGGTGTGTAAGTAACACAGCAGCATGAGTTGACCGTTGAGGGCCCACAGAGATTGCAGGCCGTGGAGAACACCGCTCACGCTGCCACTGCCATGTATGTGCATGACGCCGCACAGAACCGGCACGCTCACTGCCACGTCAGCATGCATGCTGGCGACTGCTGACATGGCAGCAGTGGCACCGGAAGGGGCAGCGGCGACGGCGGCGAGGGTGAGCGGCAGCCAGTCGTGGTAGAACTGGCGCAGCAGCCGGTCCGCCTCGTCCACCACCTGATGGGGGCAAGAGGGGATGCAGGCGGTGCAGGGGTTGCACGGAGGAAGGCATGGGGAGGCATGGGGAGGCATGGGGAGGCACGGGGAGGCATGGGGAGGAGTGGGGAGGCATGGGGAGGAGTGGGGAGGCATGGGGAGGAGTGGGGAGGCATGGGGAGGTATGGGGAGGAGTGGGGAGGCATGGGGAGGAGTGGAGAGGCATGGTGAGGCATGGTGAGGCATGGTGAGGCATGGTGAGGCATGGGGAGGCCGAGGGGACAGAGGGGGCACAGCGGGCAGAGGGTGAGGGTGAGGGGCAGACAATTATGGTATGACTGGCACAGCAAGCGGCATGCCTCGTCCACTGCCTGATGGGCACAGGGGGGAATGAGGAGAAGCGGAGGGGGGAATGAGGAGAAGCGGAGGGACGAATGAGGAGAAGCGGAGGGGGGAATGAGGAGAAGCGGAGGGGGGAATGAGGAGAGGCGGAGGGGGGAATGAGGAGAGACGGAGGGGGGAATGAGGAGAAGCGGAGGGGGGAATGAGGAGAAGCGGAGGGGGGAATGAGGAGAGGCGGAGGGGGGAATGAGGAGAGGCGGAGGGGGGAATGAGGAGAGGCGGAGGGGGGAATGAGGAGAGGCGGAGGGGGGAATGAGGAGAGGCGGAGGGGGGAATGAGGAGAGGCGGAGGGGGGAATGAGGACAGGCGGAGGGGGGAAAGAGGAGAGGCGGAGGGGGGAATGAGGAGAGGCGGAGGGGGGAATGAGGAGAAGCGGAGGGGGGAATGAGGAGAGGCGGAGGGGGGAATGAGGAGAGGCGGAGGGGGGAATGAGGAGAGGCGGAGGGGGGAATGAGGAGAGGCGGAGGGGGGAATGAGGAGAGGCGGAGGGGGAATGAGGAGAGGCGGAGGGGGGAATGAGGAGAGGCGGAGGGGGGAATGAGGAGAGGCGGAGGGGGGAATGAGGAGAGGCGGAGGGGGGAATGAGGAGAGGAGGAGGGGGGAATGAGGAGAAGCGGAGGGGGGGAATGAGGAGAAGCGGAGGGGGGAATGAGGAGAGGCGGAGGGGGGGATGAGGAGAAGCGGAGGGGGGAATGAGAAGTGGAGGGGGAAATGAGGAGAGGCGGAGGGGGGAATGAGGAGAGGCGGAGGGGGGAATGAGGAGAAGCGGAGGGGGGAATGAGGAGAAGCGGAGGGGGGAATGAGGAGAAGCGGAGGGGGGAATGAGGAGAAGCGGAGGGGGGAATGGGGAGAGGCGGAGGGGGGAATGAGGAGAAGCGGAGGGGGGAATGAGGAGAAGCGGAGGGGGGAATGAGGAGAAGCGGAGGGGGGAATGAGGAGAAGCGGAGGGGGGAATGGGAGAGGCGGAGGGGGGGATGAGGAGAAGCGGAGGGGGGAATGGGGAGAGGCGGAGGGGGGGATGAGGAGAAGCGGAGGGGGGAATGAGGAGAAGCGGAGGGGGGAATGAGGGGAAGCCAAGAGGGAAACGAGGGGAAGCAGCGGGGTAAATGCGGGGAAGCAGAGGCGGACATGAGGGGAAGCAAACGGAGAAATTAGGGGAAGAAGAGGCGGAGATGAGGGAAAGCAAAAGGAGAAATTAGGGGAAGAAGAGGCGGACATGAGGGAAAGCAAAAGGAGAAATTAGGGGAAGAAGAGGCGGACATGAGGGGAAGCAAAAGGAGAAATTAGGGGAAGCAGAGGCGGACATGAGGGAAAGCAAAAGGAGAAATTAGGGGAAGGAGGAGGTTAAAAATAGGAAAATCAGGGGGCTGGAATAGGGGAAGCAGGGGGGAAAACGAGAGGAAGCAGGGGAGTAAATGAGGGAAGAAGAGGGGGGAATGAGGGGAAGCAGACGGGGAATGAGGGGAAGCAGAGGGAATAGAGGGGAAGGTAACAAGAGGGAATGGAAAGGCAGGGAAGCGAGGGCAAGGGATGGGCAGGTGGGAGAAGGGCAGCGAGAGTGGAGGCGCGAGGAGGGTGTTGGCGCGCTGATGGCAGCGCGGCGAGGTGAGCGGAGGCGCGGCGAGGCGAGCGGAGGCACGGCGAGGCCCGCGGAGGCGCGGCGAGGCGAGCGGTGGCGCGGCGAGGCGAGCGGAGGCGCGGCGAGGCGAGCGGAGGCGCGGCGAGGCGAGCGGAGGCGCGGCGAGGCGAGCGGAGGCGCGGCGAGGCGAGCGGAGGCGCGGCGAGGCGAGCGAAGGCGCGGCGAGGCGAGAGGAGGCGCGGCGAGGCGAGCGGAGCCGCGACGAGGCGAGCGGAGGCGCGGCGAGGCGAGCGGAGCCGCGACGAGGGGAGGCTCCCAGAAACGAGGGGGCGTGAATGGGACAGGGGGCGCGGCGAGGGGAGACGCAACGACGAGAGGCGAGGCACAACAACTTATGCGCGGGTGAAGTTCTTATTCTGCGTATTTTACCATGCTACGATGCGCTGTCGGGATGTTTTTTGACTACTATCTAACACAAGACTGGTGTGGTGAGGTTGGCTTACTCGTTTGGTTGGTTAGTTGGGTTGGTTTGTCGTACACTCATAGCGATGTTGAGTGACGACTTCCCAATCTCCTCGCAGCGTGATCTCGCTTTCGCCCCGCCCATATTCCCGAAATGAACTTTTTTGCTTTTCGCCAACACGTTTAAAACCCTTCAGTCATTTTGCCAAAAGCCATGCTGACCTCGGGCTTTAAGACTTGACGAAGTAGTGTTTGCAAGCTTTGAAAAGAAGCGCGCCTGCAATCTGGGACTTTTGGGGACTCAACCAACCCCCAGGGCGAAAGACCAGGGCATGCTGGGTTTGGCGAAAAAAAAAAAAAAAAAAAAAAAAAACAAGAGGCGACGTAGTCGTCGTAGGGTTGCGAAGCGTTTTGCAAACCTAAATGACTATTATTTTTGTACAACAAGGTGTAGTAGTGTAACTACCGAAAATCAGGTCAAACTCTTTAGTTCAGTGTTTGAAAAGCATATCTGCAGGAATCGAACCCGTGAGCTATCGACTCCTGACTCGTCATCAATCAGCTGAGCTACAGCCGCTTCTCAGTGCATGAAATATAAAATTCAAGTAATGTGACGCGCGAAGAAATCGTCACTACCTTAGGATTTGAATTTCTTCTTTTCCTCTCTCGCTTTCCTCTCGCTGCTGGAGCTCCTCAACGTACTCCCGCTAGTCACACTGCATCTACCTACCACTAACAGGTCAGAACCCAAGGCTATTAAGTAGAACTAAGTTAGTTGTTAAAAGCTAGTCTAACCGTAATCGCGTATCCTAGTCGTAATCGCGTCCTTAGGTTCTAAGCTCGTAGTTAAGTTTTAAGCATTTCCTGTAATCTTTAGGCTAAACTAAGCTGAGCATGTGATTGTCTTTTAGTTGTCAACGACCCATCATATAGTTCGTTAGATCTTGCTCTTATGACGTATTTAGAAGCCTAAGCACGTCAAATGTAATTTTTTCTCCTAGAAATTGCTTCATATGGGTCTTATTCTTGGATTCTATTCTTGTACTTTCTGATCTGGCTACTAGTTTATGCCCAGTCATTCATTTCTTCCTTCGTTCCTTTCTTTCGTATATACATACTCCTTTTTTCTCTTCCAATCTTTATCGTCGTATATCATCCGTCATATAACCTATAAGTCTCTTTGGTTCCGTTTGTCAGATTTATATGACATAGCTACTGTAGGCTATAGTGGGGTAGCACATATGGGGTACAGTTTTCTAGGGTTTGCCTTTTGTACCCAACTTTCACTTAGTCAATTTCATTCCTGTTTTCTTAATTCACATGGTATAGAGCGGGTTCCTACATGGGACCGTTCCTTCCTAAGGGCCCACCATAACTATTTTTTTTTTAGCTGCCCGACGCGCATTGCGCCCCTGCCCTAATTTTTTTTTTTAGCGGCCCCCCCTAGCGGCCCCTACGCGACCCCTACGCGGCCCCTACGCGGCCCCTACGCGGCCCCTACCCGGCCCCTACGTCGCCCCTGACGCGGCCCCTACGCGGCCTCTGACGCGGCCCCAACGCGGCCCCTGACGCGGCCCCTACGCGGCCCCTGACGCGGCCCCAACGCGGCCCCTGACGCGGCCCCAACGCGGCCCCTGACGCGGCCCCTACGCAGCCCCTGACGCGGCCCCTGCCGCGGCCCCTGACGCGGCCCCTACGCGGCCCCTACGCTGCCCCTGAGGTGGCCCCTGACGCGGCCCCTGACGCGGCCCCTCCGCCGCCACTACCGCGGCCCCTGACGCGGCCCCTCCGCCGCCACTACCGCGGCCCCTACGCCGCCCCTGACGCCGCCCCTGACGAGGCCCCTGACGCGGCCCCTGACGCGGCCCCAACGCCGCCCCTGACGCGGCCCCTGACGCGGCCCCTGACGCGGCCCCTGACGCGGCCCCTGACGCGGCCCCTGCCGCGGCACCTGCCGCGGCCCCTGACGTGGCCCCTGACGCGGCCCCTTCGCCGCCCCTGCCGCGGCCCCTACGCCGCCCCTGACGCGGCCCCTGACGCGGCCCCTGACGCGGCCCCTTCCCGGCTCCGACGCCGCCTCCCACCGGCCCCTCCGCCGTCCCTGATCAGGAGCCGCAGCCGCCAAGCCGCCCAACGACCGAGCCGCCGGGCCGCCGAACCGCCCAGCAGCCGAGCCGCCGGGCCGCCGAGCCGCCCTGCTGCCGAGCCACCCGAGCCGCCGAGCCGCCCTGCCGCCGAGCCACCCGAGCCGCCCAGCAGCCGAGCCGCCCAGCAGCCGAGCCGCCCAGCAGCCGAGCCGCCCAGCAGCCGAGCCGCCCAGCCGCCGAGCAGCCCAGCAGCCGAGTCGCCGAGCCGCCCTGCAGCCGAGCCGCCCAGCCGCCGAGTCGCCGAGCCGCCCTGCAGCCGAGCCGCCCGAGCCGCCCTGTCCGGTAAGAGCGGCGCCTCTCTCACAGCACTGCCCTCACCCTACTGTTTGCGCTACTAGTCTACTGCTGTCATGGCTACCCCTAGTGTCCTCGCTTTTGACGCTGAGGGTCGGGCCATTGACTTTGAAGTCTGGATAGATGACCTGCAGCTTTTCTTACAGTGCGATAGGGCAGACGGCCTCTCCCTCTTTGACCTCACTTCTGGTGCCTCTCCTGCCCCCGCTGCTGATGCTGACGCCACTGTTCGCTCACAGTGGGCCACGCGCGATGCCGCTGCACGTCTTGCTGTGCGTCGCCACCTGCCTACCTCTGAGCGTGCGCACTTTAGCCAGTACAAGAGTGCTCAGACCTTGTACGACGCTGTAGTTGCACGCTACTCCTCCCCTGCCACTGCTGCACTGAGCCGCCTCATGCTACCGTACCTCTTCCCTGACCTTGCTGCCTTTCCCACAGTCGCTGACCTCATTACGCACCTCCGCACTAGTGACACTCGCTACCGCGCTGCGCTTCCTGCTGAGTTCTGCGCCAAGAACCCCCCCCCCATGTACATCACCCTCTACTACGTAGTCACCCGGCTCCCTGACTCCCTTCGCGTAGTCAGGGACCACTTCCTCTCAGTTTGCCCCACCACTCTCACCGTTGACCTCCTCGAGAAGTCCCTCCTAGCAGCAGAGAAGAGCATAGTCGCTGTAGGAGCCTCTCGTGGTGACCCTCACACCCCCATCTTTGAGGGGTGTTCCCCCTCCCCCCTTTTGCCCTCTGTTGCCTCTGCTGCTGCGGCCGACCTCGTTGGGCTTGAGTCGGTCGGTGCGGCGTCTACCCCTAGCGGGAGACGTCGCCCTGGCAAGGGCAAGGGGGGCAGGGGCACTGGAGGAGCCAGCGGGGGCGGTGGAGGCGGAGGTGGAGGTGGTGGAGGGGGTGGGGGTGGCGGTGGGGGTGGTGGCGGGGGTGGAGGTGTCGGTGGCGGCAGTGGAGGCGGAGGCGGCGGTGGCGGTGGGACCGGAGGTGGCGGCGGTGGAGGAGGAGGCGGCGGAGGAGGTGGAGCTGGTCGGGGTGGCGCTGCACAGAGGGTCGGCTCCGGTGGTGGTCAGCGCCAGCAGCAGCAGCAGCAGCAGCAGCAGCAGCAGCGCACTCGTGACATCCCCTCCCCTCAGCAGCCCCGTGAGTGGTACACTGCACGCCAGAGGGGTTGGGGTACTGGTCCGTGCACCTACGTCCTCCGCACCGGCGACCGCGCGGGTGACCAGTGCGGGGGTGCGCACTCCACCCAGCGCTGCTTTGGCCGCCTCACGGACGCTTGGCGTCACCAGTTCCCTGAGGCCACTGAGATCCCCCGCTGGGGTGAGCTGTCTAGGGCGGGTGTAGCTGTCTTTGACCTTGACTTTGATGCTATTCTTGCTGCCATGTATACTGTGACTATTAGTGATGAGGGTGACTGTTACCGGTGTTTTCCGCCCGACCCGGGCATTGAGACTGCTGCTCTAGGTACTGGTGAGGCTGCTGCTCTAGGTGCTAGCGAGGCTGCTGCTCTAGGTGCGTCTGCTCCCTCAGGTGCTGGTGAGTCTGCTCTCTCAGGTTCTGCGTCGGCTTCGGCCTCCCACACCTTCACCCTTGACTCGGGGGCTTCTCGCTCCTTCTTTCGAGACCGCACCACACTCACGCCGCTTGGCCGGCCAGTTGCAGTCTCTCTGGCAGACCCCTCTGGGGGTCCTGTCCTTGCTCACTTCTCCACTGTCCTCCCGTGTCCGGCG